TGGATGAATTAAAGATTGTGCTAACAACAGATGACAAAGAAAATGAAAAGTTTCATTCAAGCTTTTCATGAACAGATTTATAACGTAATCAAAGCTCCAGAAGAAACCAAATTGGAAATGTCAACTCCCAACGAAAATTGTATAATATCACCTATAAAGAACACAAAGAGACCCATTCATGTTTATATGTGAAATAGTACAGGATAGCCTAAGTGCCAAAACATTTGAAGGCATGAGGACTTCCCTTCAAAGAGTAAGTGTAAAGTTCATCTTGATCAAGCCACCAAAAATAAACTTTTTTTTTGCTTTTTGGTGAAGCAAGTGGGGTTAAGTGACTTGCCCAAGGTCACACAGCTAGTGTTATGTGTCTGAGATCGCATTTGAACTCAGGTCCTCCTGACTCCAAGGCCAGAGCTCTATCCACTGTGCCACCTAGCTGACCCCAGAAATAAACATTTATGGAGAAGAAAACATTTTAATGAAATAAAAGTGTCTAAAACTGATATATAATGTATTTTGGGTTATTATACACTCAAAAATTTATGGACCTTCTCAAATCTGCAACTGAGTGTTCTTCATTTAAAAACAGTTGTTACAGCAGCATGAGAAACAAGGAAACAAAGAGTTCATGGCATCACCAACGTACTGTATACCAAACTCACTAAGATATAGAATAATAAATTTGAGAGGCAATAACAGAAAGGGAAATCTCAGTTCAAATAACTACAAAATGGATAAAATATTTAGGAATGAATCTACCAAAGAACTCTCAATACAGAGAGCTAGCTAAAATAATAACATAATTCATTTGGAGAAACAAAAATTCTAGGACAGTGGTGTTAAACTCAAATGGAAAAAGATCCCTGTGGGCTCCATCTTGACTCAGAAAACTGCAAATGAACAATATCTACATTGTATTGCATTTTGTATTGTTTTGTTAAATATTTCCCAATTAACTTTTAATCTTGTTCTGGTTTCACTCAGGAATTTTGATGTAGCAGGCCTTGGGTTTGCCACCTCTGGTCTAGGATATCAAGGGAAATAATGAAAAAAGGAAGGGACAAAGGAGAATAGCCCTTCTAGACTTCAAACTATATTTTAAAGTGCATTCATCAAACCATTTGGTATCGGTTAAAAAATAGACAAGTAGTCAAATGGAACTCACTAGACAAGGAAGAAGTAGGAATAATGGAATGCAATCACATAGTGTTTGTCAAACTTCCAAAAATAAATTACTTAGGACAGAATTTCCTATTTTATAAAAAACAAAACCAAAAACCTTTTAGAAAAACCAGGAAGTGGTCTGGCAGAGATTAGGATCAGAACAATGTGTTATAACATATTCCACAATGAATTCAAAGTGGATACTTGACCTGAATATTAAGGATATTATCATAAAAAAAAAACTAGAAGAGCAGACCATAAGATCTTTCAGAGCCACAAGGAGATAAAATTCATAATGAAACAAGGGATAGAGGGAACGACAAAAGATAAAATAGATTAACTTTGATTACACGAATTGAAAAGCTTTTGCACGAATAAAATGTACGCATCTAGGATGAGGAAAGGTTGACTGGGAAAAACATCTTTTTATCCAGTATCTCTGAGGGTTTGGTATCCATGGTAGATAGACAAGTAATAGAAATATGGATAACAGAAATATATAAGATCAAAAGCTATTCCCCAGCAGACAAGTGGTTAAAGGAACGAACAAACAGTTCTCAAAAGAATTACAAACTATTAACAACCACATTAAGGAATACTCCAAATCACTCATAATGAGGAAAATGCAAAACAAAAACAAACTTGAGGTTTCACTTCACAAACAGCAAATTGGTAAAGAAGACAAAAGATGGGAATAGTCAATGTTGGAGGGGCTATGGAAAGACAGGCACACTAATGTGTGCCTAACAAAGCAGTGGTTTTGGGAGGTATAAATTAGTATAACCATTCTGGACAGTGATTTGGAATCACGTAGATAACATAGCTGAAAGGGCCTTATCCTTTGACCCAAAGATCTTCTCATGCTAAGCACATGTAAACTCTAAGGTCAGTGACCAAAAGAAAAAACAGGGTTCCACAATATTGCCAAATTTATCATCCTTACACAAAAACCTGGCCACATAATTATTCTGTTCTCAAACTTTCAGTGCTTTCTGTGGTAAACTAGAAAGCTAGTGATCTTTCTGAACCTAGCCTTTTATACTCTCACTACTTCCCCTTTCCTGGCTGGAAACTCCTGCCTACCTTGACATCTCTCTCATTTTTCACCTTTTCTTCATTCATAGCATAACTGCTCTAATTCAGGTCCTTATCACCTTTCCCTTACATTATGAAAAAGACTCCCAATTGGTCTCCCTATTTTAAATCTCTTCCTTCTCTAATCCATCTCCCACACAACTGCCCAAATGATAATCCTGAAGCCCAGGTTTGACCATGGCATTCCTCTATTGCCTATAGAATCAAATACAAACTCCTATTTGGCATTTTAAGCCCTTCCTTCTTTCCAGGTTTACTACACATTACTCCCATTCATGTACTTGATATACCATCCAAATTGGCTTATCTGCTGTTCCATGTATACCATATTGGAACGCCTGGAATACATTCACTCAGGAACTTCCTGTCTCTTAGAATCCCTAGTTTGCTTTCAAAGTTGAGTTTAAATGCCATATCCAATGAGGACTTTCCTAATGTTTTAGATATGAGTCAACAAGCATTTTTAAAGTACCTTTTCCCAGGTACTGTGCGAAATTCTGGGAATACAAGTCACCCAATTACCATGTCTGTTTTATATTTACTTCTGTAGATGGTTTCTTCTGACAGAACATAAACTCCTTTAGCGAACTTGGTTTATCTGTTTTTATCTCTGTATTTCCTGTGCTTAATAAATGCTCATCGATGAATACCTAAAACCTTCTATACTAGAAATCCCCTTTCCTAGTTATTAGCCTTTTTTATCCCACTTTGGAGATGTCTGTTGCTAGCCCCCCTTTCGGGAAATGTTGCCCTAGGTGGGAGGTGCTGCCTTAATATCCTTCCCTTGTTGCCTCAGTCACCTCCTCTCTGCCCCACCCTTAGGCATATCAAGTTAAGCAATATAACCTCTATGGGTCAAAATAAAATGTGCCAAATACAGCCTTATGGTTTGGCAGCAGTCTGATTTAATTTTTCTGCAAAATTGCCTTTAATTCCTAGGGCAGTTTCAACAGCTAGAATACTCCCTATCATCTACTGAACATAGTTTACTACTGACACTCAAACTCCTCCACAATCTGGTGCTATCATGATGCCTTGCTACCATCCCTATCTACTTTCCCCAGTTTTTGCTTATCTTGTTCCCTATCTATCTCTGAAATCCTCTCCTTCAATCTCCACCTGGTTAATTCCTACCCTTTCTGAAGAGCCATCCTAAATGCCCCTTTCCTGGGAAGTTTTTCCTGATTCCTAGTTAAGTAAGACTTTCTTTCTTAGGCCTTGAAATGCACTGTCCCATTCCTAATCTTGCTCTATTTTGAGTCATATCTGCATGGGAATCACATTCTCTTACTAGACACTAAACTCAATCAGGACAGAAATCATCTTTCTTGCTATTTTTTCCCCATCACCAAGTACAGAGATTTAATAAATGGTTAAAGGAAACCTCTGTAGAGGGGTCCACAGGAAGGTACTGTTGGAAATTTGTCTATATTTAAGGGTCTGAGACAACGTGGAAAGACAGGGGTTGTATATTTGCTCTTAAGGAAGAAATGTGGGAAGCTCCTAAGTGAAAGTACAAGGCACCTGATCAAAGGTATAAAGTCAACTTTAAGGAGGTAGAATGCTGAGATCTGCTTTTTAATATTCCTTTTTATAAATTCCCATGTTTTACATTTTGGGACATGGCAAATGTGTGGATTTGTTTTGTCTGATGAAGCTTATTTGTTATAAGAATTGTCTTTTTTAAAAAAATAGTATTTGGGGGTAGAGGGAATAAGCATTTATATGGATGGTGCCTACCTACTGTGTGTCAGGCACCGTGCTGAGTGCATTTTTCAATTATCTCATGTGATCCTTACAACCATCTTTGCAAGGTAAGTGCTGTTATTATCCCTATTTTATAGTTGAGGAAGTTGAGGTAAACAGAGATTAAGTGACTTGCTCATGACCACAATGCTGTAAGGGTCTGAGGCCAAATTTGAACTCAAGTCTTTCTGACTCCAAGCCCAGACCTTTAACCACTGTTCCACCAGCCACCTTTAGAGAGGAACTTTCAATAGTATTGCCAAAAAAAAAAAAGAGGGGGAAAGAGAAAAGGTCACTGGTAATATTTTTTAAAATGCAGAGAAGGAAATTCAGGGGAAAACAAAAGCAAATTAGTTTTAAAAGTAGCATGTTGAATTTATTATATACTTTAAAAAAGTAAATTATATGTACTAGATATTCAGTTTCACATACACTTTTTTTGGTTCTACTTTGTATATATAATTTTTGGGGGTTAAATTCAGAACATAAAACAATTTTAAGAAATGTTTTGTCTAAAAAAAATTTTTTTCCCCTAAATCTTGTCAGGGTGCACAAATACTTAGTGAGTAGGTCTCTCCTGAAAGATATATGGGAGTTTGTTGGACATCCTGTCCCTAGAATAATTAAGGTAGGAATCTGGATGGAGGACCCAGAACATTTAATTACAGGAAGGTCTAAGGGACTCCCTGAATCATGAAGTTTTGTGTGATGTACAGAGCTTGGTTAGATTGTTTTTAAGCCTCTTGCCAGTGGAGTAGTGTTCAGTTCTAGCATCTATTAATAACCAGCTCCTAAGCAGGAATTACTGAGGGTGCATGAGACCTCAACAGCCCAAAGGCCAAAGTCTTTGGGTCTGCAAAAGCAGGGTCACTGAATAAATATTCAGGATTATCCTTTCCCAGTGGATATATACTTCTCCTTCTGGGTTGAGGACGGAGTGAGAAAGTATCTGTGATGGTTGTAGGTGAAGAGGAAAAGAACAAATCCAAGAAAACTTTAAAAAGGCAATTATTTTGCTTTACTCGTTTTGAGAGGAAAGGCTGAGGAAAAACCTAGGGAGGAATATGAGAATGATGCACAACTGGGGAATGAGATGGCCTGATGAGGCCACTTTCTCTGTCCTGTTTGAAGAGTGGCAGTAAGCAAGCCCAGCACAGATCCCTCTGGGGTGGCTCAGGGTCTTGGCTAAGTAAGGATTTCAGGGATGCCTAATACAGAGTCTCCTTGGCATGGGTCCTCAGGTGTCTCATCAGGTGAGAATTGCGGCTAAAGCTCCGCCCACATTGGCTACAGGTATAGGGTCTGGCACCTGTGTGGATGGCTTGATGCCTAAGCAGGTTACAGCCCCGGCTGAAGCTCTTTCCACACTGCTGACACTGCTGAGGAGCCTCCTTGATTGGCCCCCCAAGCTCTTTTATGTCTTTGCCTGTTCCCAGAGCATCAGTTGCTGGATGAGTCCCAAGGTGGCGCTGCAGGTGGGCGTTGCGGCGGAAGCTCCTTCCACAGGTTTTGCAGAGGTATGGCCTCTCTCCAGTATGGGTCCGAATGTGCCGTACCAGGTTGGAGCTGTTTCGGAAGCAACGGCCACATGTGTCACAGGGGTGAGGTTTTTCCCCTGTATGTATACGCTGATGACGAGCCAAGTGAGCGCTCTGGCTGAAGCGTTCCCCACACTCACTACAGCGGCATGGCCGTTCACCAGTGTGGCTGCGCTGGTGGCGGCTCAGGTCCTGGCTCTGGCTGAAGCGTTTGTTGCACTGGCTACAGTGATGGGGCCTCTCTCCACCATGAGTCAGCATATGGCGTGCAAGGCCAGCCCGGCGCACGAAGTGCTTTCCACACTCAGAACAGGCATAGGGCTTTTCACCAGTATGTACACGGCGATGACTGGCTAGCTGGGAGCTCTGGCTAAAGGCACGTCCACAGTCCTCGCAGGAGAAGGGCCGTTCTCCTGTATGTATCCGTTGGTGAGTGACCAGATGCTCATTCCTCTGGAAGGCCTTGCCACATTCACCACACACATGAGGCTTCTGCTCAATGGGAGCTTCCTGCTGCTGGTGGTTGCTGGTACCCTGAAGAAAACTTCTGCCATACTCAACACCTTGAAGGGGCTTCTCCTCTGCATGGAGACTCAGGTGGCGTTGGAAATTGGCATGCCGCTGGAAACCCTGCCCACAGATGGAACACAGGAAGGCTGGTTTGATGTCCTGTTCTGTTTCCCTGGCATGGGCATGTAAATGTCGCAGGAGGCTGGACCGTCGGTGGAAACCCTGTCCACAATCAGCACATAAGAAGGCCATCTCTGCAGAATGGATCTGCTGGTGTTTTCTCAGGTGACCACTCTGCCGGAAGCATTCCCCACACTCAGAACACACATACGGACGTTCATCTGTGTGTGTTCTCAGATGCAGCTTGAGGATGGAGCCACGGCCAAAGTTTTTCCCACAACATGGGCACTGGTATGGCTTGAGGGAATCATGGGTTCTTCTGTGTGCCTGAAGGCATGACAACTGGGAAAAGCTTATTCCACACTCAGGGCATGTCTTTGGTGTCTCCTCAGGCTCAAGTTTCTCTCGGACATCACAGACTTTTATTTCCCAAACTTCACTTTTACTAGGGGGGGGTGTTCCTTTACTCTCTGAAGCAGTAGGGCCCCATTGCCTTTCAGCCCCCCAGTGAGTCTCTTGTATATCTTCCCTGTTGGGCATCAAGGAAATATCGTTGCCTACCTTTCCTGGAATGGTTGCAGGCTTTTCTGAACTTTCTTGCTTTATTTTTTCCCTATTCTCTGTTCCAATTCCAAGCCCTGGGGGGAAAAACAGAAACATATGTAGGCAACAGGCCCAGCACAGAGAAGAATACTTAATGACAATGATGTGGGAGAAGGGAGAAAACCACAATGTAGAAGATAGGAAATAAAGTAGTAAGTTAACTAAATACTGAATGATCTTGCTCTGGTGTTCCCTCAGGGAGGGACTGAGTAAGGGAGTGAATGATGCTAAGAACCAAATACCATCTGGGAGATGTTATTAGGATATTTGATTTCATCAATGAGATTAACTCCCATGTATAGAAATTCTTTCTAGCAATTCAGTAACTTAAAAGAGTCTTAGAGAATTGTCTATGACAGTGAGAGGAGAGTGACCTGCCCAGAGTCACACAAAGAGGTCAGTGGCAAAGATCCTACTCAAAGCCCATGTCTTATGGCTCCAATTACTGCTCTTTCCTTGGTTCCAAGGAACCACGCTGGTAAAAAGAACAGCATAACTTCCACTTGATGGAGATTACACATTTTTTTTGTTTCTAATCAGCACAGAATCTTGGAACTACCAGAGATATTAAGATATCATTTAACTCTTATAAACTCCTTATTTTTCTGAATAAGAAAATGAGGCCCAGGTCACACTGTTACAACAAGCCAGCAGCATCCCAGGACTATAAGGATGCTGAGTTTCCCCCTTCTTTCTGCAGTGTTTTTTTTTTACTGCACTGACTTTTGGAAGGTTCAAATTGACTGGAACCTCCTATGCTAAAATGTTCTGTTTATGGCTATTCTGATGGCTATTTGGATTGGCTGGAGTAATAAGAGTATAAATGGAGTAATAGAATATAAATAAATGCTTCACATGAATGAATCTAGCTACAGCTAGCCAGCACTCAGGGCCGAACCCCCTCCCTCTTCCTGTATCTTCCTTGCTCCTTTCGAGGATCTTTTAGCACAAGCAGTGCCTTAGCAACAGTTGCCTGGTATCCCTTCCTAGCCCACTTTTCCTCTCCTGGAAAACTCTTCTCTGAGCTATGAAAGCATCCACAAAGAGGAAATTTTTTTTAGGTTAAGGGAAAAGGAACATTAAATAAAACAGATATAAAACCTTGACTACTGGTCTTTGGTAATTTTTTTCCCAGTCTGCAAAACTTAGTAGGTCTTTACTTAAAATCTATATACATAAGACACTGGCTCCCATTTGTCCCTGCCCCAGAGCTTTGAGGAGGCTGCTGGGGGTTGGGGCAGTTCTGAGTCAGAATGTAGATAATTTATAGGTTAGCAGTATAGTTGGGACTGGGTACTTTGGTCAGATCACTGATTGTTTACAAAATGTGTTTTCTTCCTTTTGTCCAGTCTCCTCATTCCAGTTTAAGGCTTCCCCCTGGGGCAGTACTCTGGTACTGTGGTTACTGCAGGGGCCAGAGAAGAGCTGTGGGTAAGCAAGAGGGAGGGGCCTTAAAGATTCGGTGGGGAGCCTGTTAGGGAGCAAGGAAAATCCAACAGAAAGCAGTCTAAAGTGTTTTTCTTTGTATCCCTAACAGTTAATTGCATAAAAATATGCTTGGTGAATTATGTTGCCCTTTCTCTCCCGGGATGCTTATTTACATGGCGACAAGTTGTTAAAAAGGCCAAATGAGAGGGAACTACAACACTCTGGCTATGCTCAAGCCTTCTGCAGGTAAGGACATGCTATGTTAGCTCCTGAGCAGGTTAAGCTGCCCTCTCTAGTACAGAGGCATGCACAAACGTTCTGGGATGTCAAGGGGCTTGCCCTCCTTCCACCCCACCAACATGGGGCACAGCAGACATTTCCCAGTCCCAAAGGTGAAAGGAATCTTACCTAGAGAGGGCGCAGGCCACACTTTCTCCACTACGACATCCTCAAATGTCAGAGACTCCTTGAAATCCCAAGGAAAGAAACAGAATAAAGATGAAAGAGACAATTGCCCCCTGTAGGCCCCCCACCCACCTTTTCTCTCAGTACCTGTTTCTCTAGGAACAATCACAGCAGTACTGATAGAATAGGGGGACTGGAAGTATTAGGAGCAAAATATATGTTATAGAGTTGGAGACATTTGGAAGAAAGGAAATGATGAACAGAGGGTCAGAGGAAGAATTTGGGAAAGAAAACCCATTGGCAGCAATCATTAAGAGTCTAGAACAGAAATGTCACTCTGCCTGAACCAGACTAAAAAGTGATTGGGAAATAGTTAACAAAATTAATGAAAAAAAATACAATATAGATAATGTCAATATGTGATTTTCTAAGTCAATATGTACATGCAGGCATCCTTTTCTATTTGAGATTGACACAACTGGTCTAAAGGACTTATGGTTCTCCTTGGGAGAGAGGAACTAAATTCCCAAATGTTAATTTTTTGTAAGTCTGGTCTGATCTCTTGTCCTGATGTCCCTGTTTCCATCGTCCACTCCCCCCTTCTTCCTCCACTTGGGATCCCAATAGGATAGTCATTCTGTAATCTTAAGAGGAACAACCAAAATCCCTAGCTCACCAGAACAGTTGCCAACTCCAGGTCTCTGGATCTCTCCTCCTGGGAAGGGGCAGGGCCCTGAGTAACAGCTGAGCCTGAGGGAGGAAAAAGGCACTGTAAAAAAGTCCATAACTTGACCCTGCACCTTCCCCGCTCACTCTTCAGGACCAGTTGGTCCCCATGACATATGTGGGCTGGGGGAGGCAGGCGACACTTGCTGGTGTAAAAAAGACACTTCCCTGTGCCCAGCAAAAACTAATCACTACCATTTTCTGCTCCCTTTCCCTGCCATGTTTGTGCCCCATTCTCACCTTGGACCACTCCCAGCCTTCCTGGGAGAAGACCAGCTCCTCACCTCTCTCTTGGTAGAGATGGAATTCTCCTTGTAGGCTAGGCTTGGACCTAGCTAGAAGACTCCACTTCCCCTCCTTTGAAGGCTTGGCTGGTTCTGGTTGGGGTTTCTGGGGCACCTCTCCAATGGTCAGGGCTGTTGGCTTCTCTGAGGGCACTATCCATGTGGGTGTGTGGCCAAGGACCTGGGAACCACTCATAAGGATAAGACTTGTGAAAGGTCATTCATTCCTCAGATAGTTAAAACTCTAAATTCACTTAAAATAATACCACCTCTAGAAAGATGGGAATAGAAGGAACAAATATTTCATCAAATTCCTAAGGTCAGCAAGGAACAGCAAGAGTCAGAGAGAGGAGGGAGACTGGGAGAGATTAACATTGCATCATCAATCCCAGAAGATAAAACCAGAAGAAACTGGTTGCCATTATAGCTGCAAGGATAAAGATTAGATAAGCATGTCTGGGCTCCTCAGTGCTTAAGGAATTAAGATCAAACTTCTCAGGTAATATTCACAGGCTTCCATAATCTGACTCTAACCTACCTTTCTTGCCTACTCCTACATTATTTCCTCCCCCCCCAAGGACCCCAACAAGTTCTCACACTTTCCCACCTCCGATGCCTAGAATGCTCTTGTTGCACTCTTCTTCCATGTTCTTTTGAAGACCTACCCATCCTTTAAGACCCGGCTCTTATGCTACCTCCACCATGAAGCTTTCCTAGATTCTTCCAACTGAAAATGACTTTCCCTTCACTGGATCATCTGATGACAACACTTCCAAAGACCTGTGATTTCAATGCTGTGGGAAGCTCCTTGGGAGGAACTTCCTCTACCAATGCAGACTGGTACCTTCTCTGCAACTTCTGGTTTTCGAGTTTCCTGGGGCACTTGAACTGACTTGCCCAAAGTGACATAGCCAGTATGTGTCAGAAGCCAAACATGAACCTAGGTCTTCCAGATTCCCAGACTGTCTCTCTTACTACTTTTACCATATTCTAATCTATGGTATATTTGCCTTTTTTATATAACCCTTTTAGATTGTAAGCTTCTAGAAGGCAAGGGTATTGCTTTATTTATCTTTGTGCTTCTTTCAAGATGGAACAAAATGCTGAATTGATGTACTTTCTGATCATTAAATGATTAAGTCAATAGAACAAGAGAAAGAAGGTCCTTTTTGTAAGGTATTTCTTTCCCTACTTCCCCAATCCCAACTGGTGATTTCATTTGCATGGGGAATTTCCCTGTGAGGAGATCCCCTCTACTATTCCAGGATGGTAGCTGTGTCTGGGTCACTGCCAAGGGTCACACACAGCAGCAGAGGACTTGAACCCGATTCTTCAGCCCTTTGAGGCTAGCTTCATCCACACTCTTATTTATACATGTACAGCCACCTCCACCCTACTCTATAGCTCTAGCTATTTGTTCTAGCATAACCTAGCAAGGACACTCTCTAGAACAGGCTACAGCAGCTTCCTTATCTAATAGCTACACTGATAAGACAAAAGTCTCTACCCCATTCCCAAGGAAACTACTCCCAAGGAAATCTACCAGCCTCAGAAATCAGAGGCTAGAAGAGCCTCTTGTAAATAACAATCTAGTGAATTCTCTCTTTATTTTACAGAGAATGGAATTATATTTTAGAGAGGGGAAGCAACTTGCTCAACGTCACATAATAAATTAACGGTGGAGCTATGTTAGGTGTTATCCAAGAGCCAGATGTGACAGAACTCGAGTGAACAATCACAAAACGCCTCAAGTGGCCAATATTGCAGACCAGTTGTTCCTAATTCTACCCTCCAGGGGGCAACTACAAAAAGCCTAGTTTCTTTCCCATGTATCAGCCTTTCAAACACTAGGACACACCTTGCTCTCACTCAGGTCCCTCGAGTTTTCTCCTTTCTGGCTCAACCCTACCTCATTCCTATCATGCTCCCATGCTCCCTCCCCATCCCAGCTGACCCTGGTGCACTTTCATCCAGCTGGCCATTCCTTCAACACTGATTAAGTTCTTAACTCTATGCAGACATTGAGGTGAGACAGGAAGTTTTGATTATGGCAGGCTGCCTGCCTCAAGGAACTTACAGCCTAGAAAATATCAGTGTTATTCCTACAATACGGCTCCCCAAACTCAATTCCATATTTCGGATGAGGTCTGACGAAAGCAGAGTATAGAGGTGCCACTGACTGTGTGGCTCTGGACAGTGTTCTTTGCCTAATACAGCCCAAGCTCAGGTTAGCTTGTTGGGCTTTTGCCACTTTATACTGTTGACTCATTCTGTCCAGTCTACTAAATCTCTCGGGCCTTTTTACATTGATGTTTGTCCAGCCACATGACTCTTGTATTCTAGATTTGTGCAATAGCCATTTGTGAGTCCAAATGAACGGACTCTATATTTTCCCATGAAATATCATCTTAATGAATTGGGCCCATTTTTTCTAACCCGAGGGGATCAGTTTTGGATTGCCAAGAGCTCTTTCTATTAGCCCCGGCTACCTAATCTTAACACTCTCCCATGAAGTCTTTATTATAACAAACTAGATTTTTCTTCTTACCGTGGGCCTTGCTTTGTTAGGCTCTGTCTGCAAATTCTCCACAAGGGTCACCACTTCATCGCCATTCTTGGGATGCTTCCCACGCACCCAGGCCTGAATGTCTCCAGGCAGGACAAGAAGGAACTGTTCAAGCACCAGCAACTCCAGGATCTGTTTTTTGGTGTGGGCCTCTGGCCTTAGCCACTGGCAGCAAAGCTCCCGGAGTCTGTTGAGAGCTTCCTTTGGGCCAGCTGCCTCCTGGTAGCAGAAGTGCCTGAAACGCTGTCGGCAGGCTTCACGTCTGGGCAGACTTCCTCCATGGATGGATTCCTGCTCCCAAGAAAACTCTTCAAGTTTCACTACTGGTAGTTCTTGATTCAGGGGAGTTTGGCACTGAGGGGCAGCCAGGCTTGGTCTTGTAGACATCATTCCCTCGGGTGGTTGGATGGGGAGCCTCACTTCAGCTGAGATCAATGCAACCTTTAGGAATCCAATATCCAGTTCACAATCTACAAGTCTCTTCTCGACACTTTAACTGGCTACCTGGGGAAAAAAAAGTTTCTACCAGGGGGTGAGTGTGGATACTGCATCAGCAAGAAAAACACAGAGGGCAGATTAGGAGAAAAATCCCCCACAGCCACTAGACTTCTGGGTAATCTACTTTAAATGATTGTTTAAATATGCTAACAGAGTAATTGTTAAGAGTTAATGGGTAGAGGTTATCACAATGGTTAGCCTGGAGGGATTGGGGGTTTTATAAAAAACCGGATTCAGATTGCAAAAGAGTTTGACAATGGATAAATTAGAAACTGGAGACCAGGATAGAATGGCCACAGATCCAAAACCAGTAAAGCTTTTGAGAGATGTGACTAAAACTGGAGAATCAGAATCACAAAACTGAAATTCTGTTCAATTCAACAAGTAATGAAGCTACTACTACAAGCAAAGCACTGAGAGAGACCTTAGAGATAGTTCTAGCCCAACTGCTAGAGGCAGCATTATGAGCAGTGAGTAGGGCACAGAACTTCAGAAACCAGGAGAAAGCAAACTTCCCATTGCTAGGTGGTAAAATGGATAGAGTACTGGACCTGGAGAAATAGGAAGACCCAAGTTCAGATCCAGCTTTAAGTATTTACTAGCTGTAGGACCACGGGTAAGTCACAGCCATTGTTTACCTCAGTTTCCTCAGCTGTAAAATGGGATAATAATAACATGTATGTTGTTGGGAGGATCCAATGAGATAATATTTTTGAATGGCCATACAAATGCTAGTTATTATTGTTATTAAACTGTCCCGCTGGCTTGTAGAAGGATTGGGAATAGAACCTAAGTCCCCAGGCTCCAAAGCCAATGACCTTCCATTGTACCATGCTGTTTTACCTACCTAATATCTGATCAGAGGAACTCAGGCAAAGTGAATTCTAAACCTTGAGTAGAGTGGAACTAGGAAGGGAATACATAATTTTAAGGGAACCGAATTGAAAAGGTGCTGGGTGAGTAGTCTGGAAAAAGAGTGGGCAGAACTTTTCAATTTTAAGAATTCTTAGTTTCTTTCAAAGAAACTCTTACCTGAAGACTTTCCTGATTCTTTTCCCACCTTCCCCCAAGTTACTCAGTTTTTGAGAAGGTGAACCTAGAATAGAAGGGCAGAGGCTGTTACATTTTTATCACTGCATTCCCCTCTGTTTTTTTATTTTTTTCATTTGCACAGCAAGTCAACATTGAGATCGCTTGCAGCTCTAAATATTTGTGATCTATAGTGCAGTTAGCATCCAATTCAACCAACATTTACAAAGCACTTACTATAGGAAGGCCTCTGTGGTTACAAAGATGAAAAATAATAGTTACTTGCCTTCAGGGAGTTTATCCATTATAAATTATAGGTAACTGGCAGTTTTGGTTAAGGTCTTCCTGAATAAGAATAATAATAGTTCACAATGTAAATTCTGGCCAAGCATTTCACATGTATTATCTCAATTTATTCTCACTACAGTCTCCCCCTTACTCTCATTCCCTGCTCCTCCCCCAACCAGGTACAGATGAAAGGTTCAGAAAGATTAAATGACTTCTAGTGTCTAGGGTGGGATCTGAACTTCAGGTTAGCCTGATTTCAAATCAAGTTCTCTACCCAATAATGCTGCTTCTAAAAGACACAGTATCATTGCGGAGGTGAAAGATTATGAATGTGGAATGTTGCATTCTTGTCCAGAACTGTTTTTTGTGTTTACGTGCTGGTTTTGCCTATTTTTTTTTCTTTGTTACATGGGAAGGCTAACTGGGGAATGAGAGAAAGTGGAGGGATGAGTATATTTGAAAATGATAGTTATATAAAAACAAAAACCACCAGTACAACTTAAAAAAAAATTAGAGATAAGGGAGCAGTCTGGCTTTAGAAGAGAGCCCAAGTTTTTGGGTGTTTTCAGGGACCTCAGCATTTCGTCACTTGTGGTGTTTGCATAAGATTGATCACCTCTGGCTCAAGGCAATTTTCAGATAACAGGGAGGTCCGTTAGCAGCTGATTGCAAGGCACCCTCTGGTGGTCAAGTGGTATCAAACTTTTCCATCTCCACCAACTCCAACCCTAACTTGTTTTCAATGCAGTGTCTGTAGCATTTGCTAGACTCCAAATCCAGAGTTCTGGGTCAGTATCTAGTTAACTAGATATGAGAATTCTCTTAGTGTTGCTAAACTGAGTTGAAATGAACAGAACAATGATGTTTTAACTGTCTGCCCTATGACTGGAAGGGCTCATGTCTGCCTTCTAATTTCCTTCCCACCTTTTGCTGGAAGCCTTTCCCAGTCTTCCTTAATCTCAATGCCTTCCCTCTGAGATTATCTTTAATTTGTCCTGTATATATATCTTGTTTGTACAGCTGTTTGCACGTTTTCTTTTCCATTAGATTGTGAGCTCCTCGACAGCAAGGGCTGTTTTTTGCCTTTCTTTGCCTTATCCCCAGCTCTTAGCACAGGCCTGGCACATAGCAGATGTTTAATAAATGGTTAGTTGACTAACTGTGACTGCAAAGACCCTGAACTTGGAGTCAGAGACCTGAGTTCAAAATACCTATGACTACTTACCACCTATGTGGTTTTGATCAAGTCATCCAACCTTTCAGACTCAGTTTCCTCATTTGTAAAATTAAAGAGTTTGCATTAAATGACCTTTAAGCTCCCCATTCTAAAGCCTTATTATCTACTGTCCTGAGCTTTGTTGTAGCAATACATAAAAAGAGAGTGTTGGGGGAGGGAGGGTCACTGAAACAGTAGTGATATGTCCTGGTCACCTCTTGCAGTTAGTTGAGATTGGTTTTCTCTCCCCTTAGAGACCACCCTCCAGAGAAGAAGAAGGAGGTTCTCTGCACTGCTATCTTTGCATGCTTCTAGCTCCCACCATTGTCATTTCATCCTTTTCATACAGATCACAGCATCGGGCTAACCTTCCTTCCACCAACCAACTCCCTTTCCTCTACTTTGCCCATTTGCACTGTCAGCTTAATTCCAAAGCCCCCTATTTCTCAGTCTCTTCCAAAATTCTTGATCAATGTTAGTTAGCATCATCCACTTCTGAGAAGACAAAGGGCAAGGTATTGGGAAGGGAGGTCTGTTATTTCAGTTTTAAGACACGGCAGCCCTCCTTACATTTAGGACTTTGTAGAGGATGAATGGATGCTCTGCATCTCCAAACTGTTCCAATGTAGTGGAAATAATGCTGAACTATGTGGTCAGAAGACATGGATTTGAATCCAGATGGCATTCCATGATTCTGCTTTATATAGATAGATAGATAGATATAGATATAGATATAAAATGTGTATGTGTGTGTGTGTGAAGTGGGGATGGATAATACTTGTGCATTCTGCCTCACAGGGTTTTTGAGGGGAAAATGTTTTGCAACCTATGAAATGCTATAAAAATATGTACTATTATTACTGGTGTTTTAGAAAGGGAATTGAAATGAGAGAACTGGATTCTAATCCTGGCTCTGCTTTCTAGGAAGCTATGCAATCACAGCTAGCTTCTTTTCTCTAGGACTTCTGTAAAATGGAGGAGGGAAGATAGATTAGCTGAGTTTTCTCAAAATTGCACTTTGGTTTTGTTTTGTTTATAGAAGCAGCAGGAGATCCAGGTTCAAATCTATGCTCTAATGCTTCCTAACTATGTCTATGGGCAAATCATCTTTCTAAGCCTGTTTCCCCAAGTATAAAATGACCATGATTGTATTTCTATTACTCATTCCACTGTGGTTGTGAAAAAAAAAGCCAAACCAAACCAAACCATGTTAAGTCTGAGTTTTAACTTACAATTCTCAGCCATTAGCATGACTAGCTAATTCTTTTCTCTTCCCAAGTCTGGTCAGTCTGATTACATGTTCATGATGGCAGCCAGGTAGCAAGGTAGATGGATTTGGAGGCAGAAAGCCTTGAATTAGAGTCCTTTCTATGCCACTTACTAGCTCTGTGACCCTGGGCCAAGTCCTTGTTTTAACCACTGTTTGCTTGTACAACAGGGATAATAATAGCACCTAACACGGCTGTTGTAAGGATCAAATGAGATAACATGTAAAATGTTTTGCAAATCTTACAGCATGATATAAAAGCTAGCAATTATTATTCGAACAAAGGAAAACTGGTAACATAAGAAACTTTGGATTTTGAGATGCCTCAACTAGATTATGTACAGCTCTAAAAGTCTAAAATAAAATGCTAAGGAAATATGGCACAACTGTGGGCTTCTCTAAGTCAGCCTCTCCAGAAGTTTTTTTTTTAAACATATTTTCCACATCACCTGTCTGATACACAAATCAAGGTACAATTTCTGCGGCACCTCATGAAAAATGTTTCCTACCACTGCCTGCTTCTCAAGCCTTAAATTCCAATGATTAATGTTATGATGTCAGTTTCTATGGGACAGAAGATACTACGTCCAGGCTTTATGCTAGGTTCTGGGGGTAAAAAGACAAAAAAGGCCACAGTGACTACAGTTTACTTTCCACTAGACTTGAATCCCAACTTTAAATTTATGTGACAACAAATACTTCTTAAGAGCTTACCGGTACGCAGAGCCTTGCCTCAGCTGGGCAGGTATAAAATGCTGCTAGATAAGACTCAGTCCCTGCTCTCATTGAGCTCTCAGTCTAGCCAGGGAATAAGATATGCAGAATAAAGGACTAGGGAGGTGCTTGGTCCAAGTTGACAAGACTGAAGCATGAGGCTTCCATGAAAGATACAGCTCCCCTATTCAGGGAGCGGATTTCCCTATTAACACCACATCTGGGGCTTGCGAAGACAGATGTCTCTTGGATGGGGTGTGTGCCAATGACTGGATACCACAGACAGACAGCACACTAAGGATGACTGATTGAATCACAAGTTATGTTGATTTGAGCCTAACCCATGGATTTGATGATGCTCATTTCAACAAAGTTTTATTAAGCAAGTACTTACCATGGCTAAATACCACAAAAGAAATGTGGAAGAATAAAAGTGTTTTGTTTTTTTAATGTACCATGAGGTTCTTGCCCGTGTATTTTGCAGTTTATTAAATGAATGTGTATGTGAATAAGTTAACACAATTATGGCAACACTGGTAAGATGTGAAAATGAAATGAGAGGTACAATGTTCATAATCCACACTGAAACATTAAAGCTAAAAGGGCTTTTGGATATCATCTGGTTTCTTATTTTCCAGAGGAGGTAACTGATACTGCAAATAGGAAAAAGAAATAGTTAAAGGTTACATCATTATTTAGTAGCAAGGTTAGGGAACCTGTGTTACCTGAGGGAAAAGCTTCCTTTTCCAGGAGTCTCACCATAACAAGTTAATTTCATTAACTATTCACCTCTGAAACTTTGGGTGTCACTAATCATAAAGTGAAACATAATTTGAGTGGGGGAGGGGAGCACAGAATCGTCTCTGGATCAGGAAATATGGACTTTGTACAACAGACATCCAGGAGAAGGAACCCTAAAAATACACTTTCCATGCTTCACAATTCTGTCTAAAACAGACCCTGCTCAAACTAATCAGAACTAGAAGGACTCTTAAAGACCACGTTGGTCCAATTCTCTCATTTTATAGATATAGATAGTGAGACCAAGGGGGGAACACTTATCCAAGGTCAAACAGGGAGAAAGAAAGAATGGGGAATAGAACTTAGGTCTCCTGTTCTGATTCTTAGGTCCAGAATAATTTGCCACCTTACCATTCAATGCTTATCATAGGAACGAGAGGTTCAGGTGTGACAAAGAGAACAGTTGGATCAGGACAGGTTTTCCTTCTCAGGAGTTCCAAAAGGTACCTCAGAGCAGGGCTGAGGTATGCACGTGTTGGATAAGCAGGAGGTGGTGGCAGAGAGGAGAAAAAGAAGGTAGAGGGCAGTGTGTGAGATGAAAAAGGAGAAAATTACTTGGTGTATAAGCCTATATTCTACTGTCTCTAGAGGATAGATGCACAGAACCTTACAGAGCTTGGCAGGGGATAGTTTCATAAAGCCTTACAAAATCTGTGGAAGATAAAAGCCTACTTAGTACTAATCAAGAAACCCAGAAACTAAAAGTCCATTTCATATAAGTTTCAGCTGCTCAGATACTGGCTTTTTCCATATTGCCCTAGAGCAGGCTTGCAAAAGGGAGAGTGCTGGGTAGCTGGGCTACTATAGCATGTGGACACCCTCAAATCCATGCTCCTTTTCTTTTGGAGTCATTTCCAATCTTGTTTGAGACAAATTCTTCTCATTCTTATCCCCATCCTATTCCCTTCTCCCTTCCTTCTCTCCAAACACTGTGGTACATCTCAGGTCAAGCCCACACCCTTAGTCCCTCAGACTCACCTTTCTATGGGGCAGCACTTGGTTGGGGTTGGGGGGAGGCAGAGATGGGGTTTTCCTCTCCAGTAGGATTTCTCTTCCTTGGGGTTCCAAGGACCAAGATCCTGCCACTTCCACCCTGGGGCAGTTCTGAGATAAGAGAACACACGGGAACAGGAAGTTCCCTTCTCTAGTCCCATCCAGGTACTTAGAGGGTCTTCAGAGCTTTAACCCTTAATGTTCCAGTTATCAGGATAAGAGCCAGTACCGAGGAAAAGGGATTTCTACGGTACCACATAGAGCAGACTGATTTTCAAGTGTTGGATATGCATAAGTTTTTCATGGGTGTGGTGCATGTGAACAATTCCACCTGTCACCCTCTGTTCTTGACACTGGTTTTTACCACTCATTCACTAATTAATCATATGCCATCTGAGACATCCATTGCCAAATCAAACTATCTCCTTGATTAATTATCTACTGTCATTGCACCTACTCGTTATTTATCTATTTAGGTCTAGTTTCTCCAACCAAACGGTAGGTTAATTGCAGGCAAGATACCATTGTCTCCTTCTACTGGATGACTGGCCCCTAGTAGGCAAATAAGAGATCTAGGGCTAAGGAAATTTACTTTCAGTGATCCCCTTAATCCTAAAACAGGTAAGAGGAGTAAAACCGAAATGGGGGTTAGGGTAGTGAAGAGAGAAAACTGTTTCGTTTGGAAGACAAAGAGTAAAGGTAGTCATGATACCGTTGATTTCAATACTTTGGTGTTTTGCTGTGTCACTCACCCATTAAACTAATTCCCAAGCCTCTCTACTGCATCCCTGGCCTGTCTGGCTTTCCTAGGGTCTCCCGGTTTAATTACAGGGGGGCTCAGTTGAGGATGTTGACTTCCAAATGTTTCTTTTTCAAAGGTCCGCATCTAGTCCCCCTCCCCTTCCCTCTAAGGAAGTACAGTACTGTAGAAAGATGTGGAATGATAAGATTTAAATTTAAATTTCCACCCACTCCCGATCAATGACTGTGACTTTAGGCAAGTCGCTCAACTTCTCCAGCAATCAATTTCCTCATCTGTAAATAATCCTAGTAGATTACTTTGTAAGGTCCCTTCCATCTCCAAATTTATCATCCTATGAAACTGCACGAGACTTAGAGCTACGTTCCTCTTGGAAAATCATTCTTAAGTAACGCTCAGAGCCTCAGTTTCTCCTTCTATAAGAGGGGGCCAGTACTCAACCTCCGTAGGGCTATCTATGGTCGATTCAAATGCGCGCTCTCACCCCGCCGGTGAGGGGCGGGGGCCGGAGCTGGAGTTGGGCCGGGCCCAACCTGAACTCCTCCCTCTTAGGACGATGCTCTTCGGCCTCGGCCGCGCCCCGCCCCCTCCCAGCAGCGCCGGGAGCGGCTCACGCCAAGGCTGGGGGAGGGGAGGCCCCTCGCCGGGGCGGAGCCTGGGGCCTGCGAGGCGGGACTTGGGCGGCCCTTTTTCAGAGAAGCGACTCTGCGGGAAGTGCCCGCCCGTGGCTAGCTGTTCCGGCCGGGTGGAGCCGCTACCCCGTGTCCGGACCCCGAGCGGTGAGAGCGGGCCCGAGGATCCTGGGACTTCGGGCCTCACCTGAGTGGAGCTCGCGAGCCGTGACGCATCTGCGCGGGGGAGAAGGGGGCGGGGTCAGAACCTGCTGGGACCGGATGTTTAGACGGAAGTGGGGGCGGGGTCTGGAGGGGGGAGGAGAAAGCAATGGAAGTGAGGGGAAGGGATAGGAAATGGGGAGAGAGAAAGAATGGCAAATGAGTTGGGGGGAAAGGATTGGGAAGGTAGGGGAAGGCATAGGAAATGATGGGGAGAAACGATGGGAAGTGAGGTAAGGAAGGAAAAGGGGTGGGAAGGGAGAGAGGAAAAGGATGAGAAGTGAAGGGGAAAGAGAAAGGATAGAAAGTGAGGTTGGAGGGGAGGTGTGGGGAGAAGAAGGGATAGAAAATGGAGGGGGAGGAAGAGAGAGGTGAAGGAGGAGAAGGGATGGGAGTGGGGATTTTGGAGACCTAGGTGTTGGGAAGAAGGGGATAAGATGTTGGAAGGAGTTACAGGGGAAAAACTGGGGGTAAGAGCAGATCTGTGAAACAGTAGCTCCAGGCCTGTCCCTGACCTCCAGGCTTGCTTTTAGACCCTCCCACCCAGTAAAACACGATTTCTTAACCTGGGGTCCCTGATACTTAGTATTTTTATAGCCAGTTTCAATATAATTGGTTTCCTTTGTAAACTTACCTATTTTATTCATTTAAAAACATTATTCTGAGAAGGGGTCCATAGTGCTTCACCTGACTACCAAAGGCATCCATGACACAAAGAAGGTGAAGAACCCTTGCTCTAAAGTATACGCTTGATGCTTAGATTGCCCATATTTCGGCTGTTTCCCTGTACCCCTTTTCTCCCTTCCCTGCCTCCTTTCTCCAAGCCAGGAACAAGGCCTATGGCAGTGGCTTTTAAGGATGTGGCCATATACCTTACCCAAGAAGGGGGATGGGGGCAGCTGGACTCTGGGCTGTACGGGGATGTTATGCAGGAGAACTACAGGAACCTGCTGTCACTGGGTAAGGACCATGGGGTTGGGCCTTTTGTGAGACCTACATCCTAGGACAGGTTTCTATGGAAGAAAAATATCTTGCAGGTATAGGGGTTTTTTATGCTTTTTTTTTTAAATAAAGTTGCAGCTGGTAGAGTTAGCAATTAAAGGCCCAGTGGCTAGGACATTAGGTGTTATAGAAGAAAACGACTAGCATTGCAGTGAAGATTGAGTTGAGATATCAAAATTATGTTAGATATTTGAGGCACAAGACAAACTGCTTTCCTTGGAGAGGAATCATCAATGGAAAGAAGCATCTATGATGGCTTCCAGCTTTGTAGAGTGGAAAGATGATGGTTGTGGATTGGGGAGTCAGTTCTTCCTAGGAGTGGCCATTTCTAACACTCTCCTGGCTCTCTTTTCAGGGGCAGATACTGAAATTATTGGGCTCAGCATTTCTGACACTGCCTTCACAACTTCTGTTCAGAAATAGTCACAGATAATCTTGTCCAAATCTATTTAATCTCCCACATAGGAATATGTTTTTCATCTTGACCTAGTGTGTTTTTATTGTGTGGGATAACCTTGATAATCTTCACAGTTCATCGTCAAGTTTGGGTTTCCATCCTAGCCAATCCCTATAATATTTTAAAACACTGATTTATTTTGACGGTTTTTCTCCCCAGATAGTAATAACTCATATTTTGATATCACTTTAAACTTCACAAAATGCTTTTCTCATCACAGCCTTGTAAGAAAACATAGTGCAAAATAAAGCAGCTGTTGGCACAGTAGATGGAATGCTGGGCCTGGAATCAGGAAGACTTCTCAGGTCTTGCCCTCAGGGGCAAGTTCCTTAACCTCTAATTGCCTCAGTTTCCTCAGCTGTAAAATGGGGATAATAATAATTGCACCCCCTCCCAGGGTGGTTGTGAGAATCAAATGAGATAATACCCATTTGTTTGTTTTTTAAAAGCACTTAGCACAGTGCCTGGCCCCTAGTAGATGCTATGTAAATGCTTATTCCCTTCCCTTCCCCTTAGATGTTATACTTCCCATCATAAAGCTGAAAAAAATTGAAGCTCAGAGATGTTAAGTCATATAGCATGTGAGCATTAGAGCCAGACTCAAACCTTGGTTCCTACAAGTCTGTTGTTCTTGTCATTTTTTTTATAACGTGTGTATGTGTGTACATACACATATACACACACAATGTGTGTACGTATACACACATCTATCTATACACACAGACGTACCTGCATCTATACATACACACATACATATATACACATACATCTATACATACACACACACACACACATAAGCTAGGGAGGTCAGTGTAGGCATACCTTTTTTTATTGAGCTTCACAGATAATGTGTTTTTGGTTTTTTTCATTTTTTTTTTTTTTACAAATTGAAGGTTTATGCAAACCTGCTTGGAGCAAGTCTATTGGTGCCATTTTTTCCAATTCACATTTTGGTAAATCTTACAATATTTCAAAGTTTTTCATTATTATTTTATCTCTTATGCTTATCTGTGATCAGTAATCTTTGATGGTACTATTATAATTGTTTTGGGGTGCCACTAACTGTGTTCATATAAGATGGTGAACTTAATCGTAAGTGTTGTATGTGTTCTGACTGCTGCACCCATGGGCCCTTCCCTGACTCTCTCCTCCTCAGGCCTGCCTGTTCCCTGAGATAGAACAGTATTGAAATTAAGCCAGTTGATAACCCTACAAGGCCTCTTAAGTATTCAAGGGAAAAGGAGAGTTAATTGATGCTGCAAACTTCGTTGTTGTCTTATTTTAAGAAATTACCACAGCCACCCCAACCTCCAGCAAATAACCACCCTGATTGGGCAGCGGCCATCAACATGGAGGCAAGACCCTCCACCAGCACTGTTCACAGAAGGCTCAGATGATAGATACATTTTTTTAGCAATAAATATTTTTTAATTAAGGTATGTATATATTTTTAAACATAATACCATTGCACACTTAATAGGCTACAGTATAGTATAAACAACTTTTATATGCTCTAGGAAACAAAAACATTCATGTGACTCACTTTATTGCAATATTCACTTTATGGCAGAGGTCTGGAATCAAACCTGCAATATCTCCAAGGTATGCCTGTAGTCAGAGTAGAGGAAGGAGAGCGTTTCAGACTTGGGGGTAGCCAGAGAAAATGCCCAAAGCCAAGAGATCTTGGCTCTTGTGCAGATGTACCTCTTGGGAGTAAGGTATATAAGAAGACTGGAAAAGTAGGGAGGGGCCTAGGTTATGACAGGGCTTTGAAAGTCAAACAGCATTTTATTTTTGATCCTGGAGGCAATAGGGAGCCACTGGAATTCATTGAGTCGCTCTGTGTGTGTATATGACATGATTAGATCTGTGTTTTACGAAAATCACTTTAGTGGCTGAGTTTAGGGTGGATTGGAGTGGGGAGAGACTTGAGGTGGGCAGATCCAGCAGCAAGCTATTGCCAGTAATCAAGGCATGAGGTGATGAGGGCCTTCACCAGACTGGTATCAGTGTCAGAGGAAAGAAGGGGACTTATTCCAGTGATGTAGCAAAGGTGAAATTGGCAGGCCTTAGTAACAACTTGGATATGGGGGTGAGAGATAGTGAGGAGTGCAAGATGACTCCTAGGTTGAGACTCTGAGGTCTCAGGGACTGGGAGGATGGTGTTGCCCGCTACAGTAATAGGGAAGGTAGGGTTTATAAGGTTTATGTATGGGGGGGAGGGTTTAAGGGGAAAGAAAATGAATTCTGTTTTGGACATACTTTAAGATGTCTGTGGGACATGCAGTTTGAGATGTCTGAAAGGCAGTTGGAGATGGGAGTTTGGAGGTCAGGAGGGAGATTGGGGCAGGAAAGGTAGATTTGACAATTGTCAACATAAAGATGGTAGTTATATCCATAGGAGCCAATGAGTTCACCAAATGAAGTAGTGTGGAAGAAGAAGAGAAGAGGGCCCTGAGGGACCCCTGTGGTTACAGGGTGTGATCTGGAGGAGGATCCAGCAAAGGAGACAGAAAGGGTGGTCAGATAAGTAGGAGAGAATGGTGTCCTAAAAACCTAGAGAGTAGAGAGTACCAAGGAGGTACTCTCATCAATAGTGTCAAAGGTTGCAGAGAAGTCAAGGAGAATGAGGATTGTGAAAAGGCCTTCGGATTTGGCAACTAAGAGGTCATTAGCAATTTTGGAGAGAACAGTTTTGTTGGAATGATGAGGTTGGAAACCAGATTATAATGAGTTAAGGAGAGAGTAGGAGGAGAGAAAATGGAGGCACCTATTGTAGAAGGCTTTTTTGAGGAATTTAGCTACAAAGGGCTGAAGAGATATAGTAGGACCATAGTTATCAGGCATGGAAGAATAGATCAAATGAGTGATTTTTCAGGATAGGGGAGACATTGAACATGTTTGTAGGAAGTAGGGATGGAGCCAGTACAGTACAATGAACATTTGTTAAGTGCCTACTTTGTGCTAGGTACTGCTCTAAATGCCAAGGATACAAAAAGAGGCAACAGACAGTCCCTAAACTCAAGGAGCTTGTAAACTAATTGGAAGTTGTTGTTCCATCATGTCTGACTCTTCTTGACCGCATTGGGGGTTTTCTTGGCAAAGATACTGGGGAGGTTTGCCATTTCCTTCTCCAGCTCATTTTATAGATGAGGAAACTGAGGCAAACAGGATTAAGTGACTTGCCCAGGGTCACACAGCTAGTATAAATGTCTGAGGCCAAATTTGAACTCAGGAAGATGAATCTTCATGACTTCATGGCCAGCACTCACTCATCTGCTGTGACACCTAGCTGCCCTATGCGTTCAGTGAGGGAGACAAGTAAATGTGTGTGTGTGTGTATGTGTAAAAAATATACAGAATAAATACGAAATAAAATTAAGAAAGGAAAAGCACTGGAATTAAGAGGTGTTAGGGAAGGCTTCCTGTAGAAGGTGCGATTTTAGTTGAGACTTAAAGGAAGCCAGAAGTCAGTGGTCAGAGTGGAAGAAGGAAAGTGTTGTTCCAGGCATTGGGCACAGCCAGAGAAAATGCCCAGAACCAAGAGATATGTCTTGCTGGGGAACAGCCAGGAAGTCAGCGTCACTGGATGGAAGAGTACTCCTGGGGAAGGGAAGTAAGGTGTAAGAAGACTGGAAAGATGGGGACTGGAGGCTAGATTATATATGTAGAGAGAGAGATTGAAAATAAGGGAAAGAGTGGGGATGACAGAGGGGACAATCTGTTGGAAGAGATAGAATGGAACAGCATTTTGTATTTAATCCTGAAGGCAACAGGAAGGTATCTGGGTTTATTGAATAGAGGGATAATATGATCAGACCTGCACTTTATTTAGAAAAATCAGAGACCCGCAGAGGAGAGAGACTTGAGGCAGGCAGATTCCCATAATCCAGGTGTGAGGTGAGGAAGGCCTAAATCAGAGGGATGGCAGTGTCACAGGAGAGAAGGGCCATGATGCTAAGGTGAAATCATGAGACCTTGGCAACAGATTGGATATAGGGAGTTCTCAGTGTTTTCTTCCTTCTTACATGAAGGCGATCCCTGTTCTGCCAGTAAGGAAATTGATTCAGAGATGAAATGACTTCCCCTGTCACATGGCTAGTAAATGGCAGCCAGAAATTGAATTCAAATCTAATGACTCCAGATGTGATCCTTTTTTCATTATGTTACATTGCCCCTAAAAAACAGTAATGAACTCAGTTATTTAAAGAAAGAAAGAAATACTAGTTACAAATGTGAATAAAAAATATTTCTGCCAGGTCAGCATTAGAAACTTTAAAAGCCAGATACTTAAGGTTAATTCTGTTTTTAACCTTCCTGTTTGTTCATAAGCTGGAAAACAAAGGCTAGCCTTCCTGTTCTTTCAGTTTTCAAAATATGTCTAAACTTTCAGAAAAACCCTCTCATAAGAGGTGAATTATCTCTAATGTGACTGATTCATCCACTTGTTTGTGATTTTCCAACATCAGTAAACATTTCTCAAGTAGTTGTTCGTTAATTA